AAAAAAAATATTATATTTTTATTTTATTTATGAAAGTATTCTTTTACAGTACATTTATAACGATTCCAAAAGTAAAAATTTGGGTCGTTACACTATCTCTGCCAACCATTGACTTATCATAACTCTTCCTTGTCTCCTCTGCATCCCAAACCCCTCTAAAATGCCAGCCAAAATCAACTTATGGTCTTTATTATGAAGTTACAATATTGATTTTACATAATTGTGATTTATGTTTGGATATGCAATTATTTGTGGAGCAAAATAAGGTATAGCAAGTGGCCACCAACAAATAGGTGCACATCTTTTTCATTTTCATTCTATGAATTATTAGATCTACAAATAGATTGTAGAATTCCGGGTCTGATTTGGTATTTACTAAAGATTCAATTTTTGGATGTCATGGGTTCTGCTTCAAACCAAATCTGGGAACTTGACTGAAATTGAAGCAAATTAATCACTTCAAGAAGAATATAGACATCCAAATCTCCAAATTGCTCGAGTGTTCGGGCCAGCGAACAATCTTGTTCTACCACAATGTGATATCCTTGGTTTCTGTTATTATTGCATATGGCTCTTTGCTATATACATATTTTAAGTTTTTTATTGCATAATTTTGTTGAAATTGAAGGCTGCTTGTAATAAAGGTGACGTGGTAAAGACCGGTAGTGGAAGCGCTGGGGGTGGTGCAGGCAGTGGCTGCAGCAACTGTGCACAGTGAATGAAGCAGGACATATGTTTCCCTTCTTTTCCTTTTATTGCCTTTAATTGTTTTTAAAAAATATATAGATTCAATAGGATTGCCTATGAAGTGATAGTGCGTGAATCTTTAACAAATTTTAGGATGGATTCCATTCATCCAAAGAGAGGGAAATCGCAATGCGAAGAAAATTTGAACGGGTACATAAATGTGGCAAAGGGTATATTTTGGGGACCCTGGGTGCAAACTTTCCTTCTATTTATTTATGTTATAGGGGGAATATAGTATTTATCACTAAATAAGAGAGAATAATAGTATGAAGATGAAATTAAACCTGCATGCAGACAAGTTTAGAGTCTCCTTGAATCTGTATATGTTTGAACCCCTTTTGCAGAGCATATTTCAACCCCAAAATGGCACCACGATATTCGGCAACATTATTAGTAGCAATACCCACGCCTTCCTGCAAACGAAACACCTACCAAAATGAAGCTCAAGGTCATGCATATGAGCATATTACAAATGTCAGAGTTGACCAGGCAAGAAGTGCTATACCATGCTTCCATCTGCTGTTCGCAGTACAGCCCCTGCACCAGCTGGTCCAGGATTTCCCTTTGAAGCACCATCAAATTCAATAATACAGGAACTCTGTACATGTAGGGAGATGAAGTTATAAAGTATGCTCTGAAGTATCATAGATTAAAAACCAAGGAAATATATGTATTAAATAATGAAGGTAGATAAAGGAGAAAGACGCATCGAACTTATGCCAATTGAGTAGAAATTCCAGAATAGGACATTGTATTCAATGGTAAACATGTTACCACTAGGAGAGACTGCTGTATCAAGGGTCTGTTCGAAATATCTTATACTTTTGCTTTCTGTAGAGAACTTCCTAATGAAATTATCTTGTGCCAACTTCCTCTAAAAACACTTCTAGAAAATTATTCAAACATACCCAAAAGCTTATTAGCCTCAAAAGCAACTTTTGTCTTTTCAAAAGCCATGGTAAACAAGCCTTAAGATAAAAATGTTTTTCAATAGTTGGAAGCCAAGAAAACCTCTCTTCACTAGATTACCAAAGGATTACAAAAGTTGATATGAAAACTCGAACCAAATATATTCCTCCACTTAGAATGATAAATCAGCAGCAAAAAGATTGAAGCACTGAGTATGGTTAATAATTATCATAGCACCAAAGCACCAAGAAAGGTAGGAGATTCATGGGGTGTGGACCGACAAGTTGGAACTCGAACCAACTAAGAGGCTGTTTGGGACGGATTTTTGTGGCCAAAAAATTGATTTTCTAACCGTTAGTTTTCAACAGCGGCCGTCATTTTTGACTTTCCATCTCTCAGGTGGGACCCACAATTGGTGGTAACGGCTCTTTTTTGGTTTAAAAGCCATTGAAGAAGCAGCTCCAGACAGGCTGTAAATTACTTTACGTGACCAGTGAAGTTAAGGCTTGCAAGTTAAAAGTGCGAATCGGAAAAAAAATCATAAAGGCTAGACACACTAGTGACATCATGAAATAAAAATTATCACGTGACAGAAACTTACACAATAAGAAGAAACTGGTGGAACTTGAAGGAAATCCAATTTGGCATGCTTTTGCTGAGGACTTATGGGAAATGAAGCTGATCCAACAACATCCTGCTGCATAAGAGAGATGTTTAAGAAAAAGGAAGAAAAATCAATTATTGGAAGACAAGCAAAAATATAGCAAAATATGAATCCCAGTATCCAATACATTCCCAATAGCAATAAATGACAACTGCCTAGTTTTGAATAGATATCCACAATGCTTGCAAAATATTGAAAAATTACATGCTTCATATCATAGCAAATCAAAAGATAAAAACTTAGATATCGTACATATATTGTATCAATTTTGGACGACGAGGAGAGGACTGAGTCTTAAGTTTAAATAACAACTATTCTAGAGATCAACACATTGTTAACTGTAAATGTTCACATAAAAACACATAAAATCAAATAAGTTTATTCTAGTCAAAAGATCCAAGATCTTCCCTTACAACTATGCATACCAAGAAAAAATTGAATAAGACGAGGTTTAAGTAAAAGCAAAGTAAATCAGTTCAGCTTTCAAAACTTACACAAGGCTTCTGGCTGCATATAACATTTTATTACACAAATTTTAACTAAAATATTTTCATCAGCAGTTACCTGTGGCATCTTCTCTAAATGATTCTTGCAACCCGCCTTGTCTTTAGAAGAATTTGGATGCTGTAAAAGAAAAATTTCCTCAATCGTAGAAATTTCACGACAATATATTGTGTTACACAATGATAATTTTATGTGGGTACACATAGTTAGCAAAATATTTTGACAACATAACAATACACACATGTATACGTATATAGTGGTTTATCACTATAGACACTGTTCAAATAGAAGAACCTGATTTGATTCTGGAATGTCTGCTGAATAGACGTCGGTCAGCCCGTTGTTAGTCGGGGAAGGCGTGTTAGAGTGGTCCCGTTTGTACGCTTAGTAAAAGTCAGTATATCTTATTTAACTGTTTTTACAGTGGTAAATTGTTATAATTTCATTGAATTTAATTATGTCCTCTATTTCAAATTGATTTCAGATGTCTAGAAATAGATCTAAAAATATTTCAAATATTTTTCAAAATGAAAAAGAGATTGATCGAACATCTGCATCATCAAATGATTTCAATAGTCATGAACTTCAAATTCCTCGAATTGAACAAAGATTGCAAAACTGGACTATTCCAAGGTGGAAAAGAATTCTATATATGAAATAGGAAAATTTGATTTTACTCAAAATTATGTTACCAAAACTTTTGAACAAACATTATCTATCAAAAATCAAAATGCACACAATAATTTATTTTCAAAAGAATCAATTGAATCCCACAAGAAGAAATTTAAATATTTTCATGTTGGATTAGTTCAAATTGCTGTCAACCTTTGTTTCGACTTGGTTTAGACATTCCAATTCTCTTAACTCTTAGAGATAAGAGACTTCTCAAATTCAAAAATTCATTATTATCAGTTCTAGAGTCAAATCTAGAAAGTGGTCCAATATATTCAAATTGTTATCCCAATTTTTCGATGATACTATTTTTACTGAAGAGTATTTTTCAACCAAACAAATTGTTACTATTTGAAGTACTTTATATGTAAATCTTCTAATACCAGATTCAAATATCTCACCAAAAGTTTTTAGTCCCAAAGAAAAAGAGATCATATTCAAAAATCCTGTATAAGAAATTCTTATAAAAATCAGATCAAAATCTATTATGGCAGCAAAGAAAAACTTGATGAAAATATTGACAATTCAATATTACAATTGATGTCTCATGATGAACATTATGTCAATTTTACTGATGAAGAAAAATGGACTCAAACTCAAGTTCCTTTGATTTGGAGAATATTTGATGATTAAATATCAATGTCGTTTTGATGATTTATACCATCAAAATTTTGAACAATTCGAAGGACCCAATTTCAATTTTGACAATGAAGAATTATTCAACATCAACAATTTGCTTGAATGGTGACTTACAAGACAAAATCAAAGCAAACAAATTAAAGTTGATTGAAGACTTTTCAAGGTAATTGAAAACTTTTTCTAATGGTCAGAGCAAAAGTCTCAAAAGAAGCAATAATTCAAGAGCCCTTCTCCAAATTAAAGAAATTTCCAAGTCCAGAGATCAAGATTTTAAGTATAAAAGCAAATCAGATATTGAAGATCTCCTCATAGTTAATTGAGTGTAGTTCTCATAAGATTTAATTCAGTTTAGCTCTTAAAAGAGAATTAATTTAGTGGGAGATAAGTCATTTTCTAGATAGCTTAAGAAATTTTTGTATTCTTTTACTATCTTTTATTTTCAATCTTGTAATTCAAAGTTCCATTTCAATCTTGTTTTAATCTTGTATTCTCAATTTTCAAATATCAATAAAATTATTTTCATTTAAACATTTGTCTATTTCTACTTCTACTCTTCTCTACCCCCGGGCCCATTTAAACTATCAATATTCCAAACAATTATACCACTACCAAAGAATGTCATAGGCATTTTAGCTTTTTGTTCAAAAAGTAAATCAGGAGGAGTATTTTTTTTGGATAATAAGGAGAAATTTTTTACCCTAAAGTTTATTTATTTGAAGAATTTCATCATCAATAAATTGAAATTCAATATCGTCAATAGTATTGATGTTATTTCAAATAGGGGAAGATAATATTTTTTATAACTGAGTTGCAAGTTCTTTTAAAACATTAATCTCAATTTTAAGACCATTTTTTGGTTTAGTCTCATGCCTGTTTATTAAAACCGGCTCTATTGGCTTACAATGATGCTTGGAGTACAGGGCTTCTTCACAGGTGTTTTACAGGCAATTCAAAATTGGTGACGTGGACGGCAATTAAATAAAAAAAAAATACAGCAACAACAAAACGAAAGAAGGGAGAATAGAACATTAATAACCCGTGCACTCATTTTCCCCCAATTTGAGCTCCCCCAAAACAACTCCCTCTCGGTTAGGGCCTCACCCACCATCCGGCCGCACCTCCGGTCACAATATAAGCACTGGAGAACACCGCTGTAGCCCGACCTCCTGAAGAACACCTGCATTTCCCCCATTTTGTTCTCTCACAAAACCCTCTCGAAGCTAAGCCACATCCACCATCCTCCTCGGCGGCATCGTACCTCCGGTCATAATATGAACACCGAAAATCATTACACCACTTACTGCGGTTGAAGGCTCGAGAAATGGGAGCTTGGTGGGGTTGATTTCGGCTTAACTGAGATCTACATTACTCTGCTGGTCAGTGTGAAAACCATTAAACGACTTACTGCGGTTGACCGCTCGAGAAATGGGAGCTCGATGGGGTTGATTTCGACTTAACTATGGTCTGCATTAATCTATGGTTCAGGTTAACTCTGTGACCTCCGGCTAGCATATTCATTACAAAAGTCAGAGATTAGAAGCACGCAATTATATGTAAGCTTCTGGCACATCCTTTTGACGCTTGTCATTTTTAGTATTTGGTTTATAATTAAGTTTTTTAGTTGTGTTTAAGAAATTATTTAATACTCCTTCTACGTTAAATCATTTTTACCTGTGAGAGCTATTGATATTTCCATTAGAGATTTACAACATTATATTGTGTTTTCTATGCTTGAGTTGATTTTTTAAGATCAATATCGTACTTTTGTGTTGGAAAACATGAATTTCTGCATGTCACTGACTTGTTAGAACGTATGGGTAAATTATTAGGTATACATGAAATGCATAATTAACTAATTTTAAATTGAAGTCAATTAATCAATAGTTTGATAGTTCGTAAGACAGTTAGAATCGATACAACTAAATAGTTGGGGTATAATTAGTTCTAAATATTAGTTATATTTATGACCTCCGTCGTCGATCAGCAAATACGATGCATTAAATGTCATTGTGAAGAAACTGTCACTTGTTTTCATTTTACCCCTTATTTTGTGCATGGTGCAATGTAAATGGTTTATGCTTCGATAAGCGCTACCACTTATTTTGTCGCAGTGGAAGAGATTATGGAAGACGTGTATGATGAATTGTTGGTGGAGTCCGATAATGAGAGCGCTGCAAATAATATGAATAGGGTTGAAAATGAAACATCAGGACAAAATGGTACGATTGTAGCGGAGATGGGTATGATGTTCAACGAAACAGACATGTTTGAGATGTACAAGAGATATGCTTATGATATAGGTTTTCCCGTCAGAAGATGGAACTCAAAAAAAAAGGGGATGATGGCATTCTGAGATATGTAACTTTCACATGCAGTCGTGAAGGCAGAAGAAGTAGTAATGCAAGTGGGTCTTTAAAGCCTAAACCAATTAGTCAAACTCACTGTAAAGCAAGGACCTCATCCTCCTCAGACAGTCATGGAAGGTGGAGAATTAACACAGTCCACCTCGATCACAACCATGAAACTAGTCCTTCTAAATCTTGGTTGTATCGATGCAATAGGGAGTTGAGTGCAAATGTGAAACGTAAACTTGAAGTGAATGATGTAGCAGGATTTCCGTTACATAAAAGTTACAACTCTGCAGTTGTGGAAGTAGGTGGATATGAGAACATAATGTGTATAGAGCAGGATTGCATAAACTATATTAAACAAGTTAGACGTTCACGACTTGGAGAGGGAGACGTAACTGCAATACAGTCCTACTTTTCGAAAATGCAAAGTGCTTGGGATTTTACTTCAGCATTGATTTAGATGACGTGTTTCAACTAAAGAATGTTTTCTGCGCGGATAATAGGCGTAGGCAAGAGTATAAAGAGTTCGGAGATGTTATGACATTTGATACCACTTATCTCACTAACAAGTACAATATGCCGTTTGCCCATTTCGTTGGAGTGAATCGTCATGGCCAGTCAATATTGTTTGGTTGTGGTTTGTTAGCTAATGAGGACACGGATACGTTTGTCTAGCTATTCAGGATGTGGCTTGAGTGCATTCATGGACAAGCTCCGAATGTAATAGTTACTGGTTAGGATCGGGCCATGCAAAACGCAATTGGGATCATTTTCCCATGCACGAGACATAGATGGTGTCTATGACACATTTTGAAGAAGTTGCCGAAGAAGTTTGGATATCATGTTGACAAAGGCAGGATATTTTCGACTTTCCATAATGTGTTTTACGATTCACGAACTGTTGAAGAATTTGAAGAAGGATGGCAACAGACGATCGATACATATGACTTGCATGAAAATGATTGGTTGTCAGTATTGTATCATAATAGAGATCGTTGGGTTCCTTCTTAAGAACCACATTATGGGTATGGATGTCCACAACTCAACGAAGTGAGAGTATGAACACGTTCTTCGATGGGTATGTGCATTCGAAGACCTCTTTGAAGCAATTTGTAGAGTAGTACGAAATAGCATTGAGAAGTAAAGTGGAGAAGGAGTTCCACGCTAATTTCAGGTCATACTCCCAAATGGTGCCCTATGCAACGAATTATGAAATTGAGAAGCATTTCCAATCAGTTTATACCATTTCAAAGTTCAGAGAAGTGCAAGATAGTTCAAGGGAATGTTTTACTATCCTCGTTTCTTCTTTTGAGGGATGTTCGGGGACGACATATGAGGTGGGTAAGGATGTGATGTATCACGAGCACCGGAGGAAAAATAAAATTTTGCCTCATTTGATTTGGAGCAGCGTGAAATAATTTGCAGTTGCCACTTATTCGAGTTCAGGGAATTATCTGCAGACATGCAATTGCGGTATTGATTCGAGACGACATCACACAATTGCCCGAGAAGTACACACTACGGAAATGGAGGAGAGATGTCACTAGAGCATACACGAGAGTTGTAGTGCACTACGATGGTTAGGTCAGTACTCCAGGACAGTTGAGATATGACAAGATGTGTAAGGCCTTTTCGCAAGTGGCTTATCTTGCTACAGATGACTAAGTCCAGACACATGCTATAATGGACTGGATAAAATCTCAAGCTACGGAGCTTATGTCAACAAAGTTGTGTTCTGGAAATAGTATCATTTCGTAGCATATTCTTCATTTAGCCTCACCATATATTGATGCGCAAACTACCGGTAGCCAGGGCATACGGGATTCGAAATTAACAAAGCAAAAAGGCACACCATGAAAGCTTCAAAAAGAAGTCCATTGGAGTCTACGTCAAAGAAATCAGGGGTAATGTAGTATGTTAGCATCTCATTTCTAGTACAATCTAAATCTAGTTTCGGGTTTATATGTAGGAAACTTCGAAATCGAATAAAGGAAAGGGACAGAGAGCTAGACAAAGTAATATAGAAGAGGTAGTTCCTAAAATTATGGCTTCTGAACAACAATATTCCACATAGATACCTTTCTCATATTCACAACTCTTATTAGTTAGCACCTTCTGTTTGTTTTGATTACTAGGTTGCACTTTTATTAACGCTGTTGTGTGATGCAGGGCGACACCCAAAGTCAAACATTTACAGAAGACTTGCCGTCATCGAATTGGGTCTCGCCATAGTCAACGAATGTTGATCTCAATGCCGAAGGTGAATACAATATTTAAATCCTCATTGCATTAAACACATTTGTATTGTGTTTGGTTACTTATTTCCATATTGTCCAAAATACGATAGGTCATTCGTTTTCATACTTCCATCCGCATTTACAGCATCTAGATGACCTAAAGTGATAAATTGGAGGATTGCAGCTCCGACATTAACAAGGTAGGCCGTTCGTATCGTAAGTTTTCTCAAATTTGGGATTTCTAGTTTTTACTTCGAATAACATTGGAAGAAAGTTTACTTCTTCTTGCATTGGAATTCTTTATTTCATTTCATTTGCAATAACTTCCTTCTATACAGCTATAGAATAAATGCCTCACTGTGAGGGATGTTTTCTTCTTTTTGCTATTTTATATTTAGTTAATATACATTTTTGCTTTTGGCTATGAAGATAGGGTGAAAATATAATGTAACTATGTGCTTTGTCAATTTAGTACCAGTTTAATGTGTTGATGCATTTAAGAGGCGGCTATATCTTTTTATGCGTATGACATTGTAGCTGGTTTCTTGTCTAATATGTTTGTTTATTTTATAACCAACTCACAGAATGATTAGCAATTGCAATCTGGAAGGTTAATCAGAAGGAGAAGCTAAGCCTCGTGAACGGAGAGATGTATATATTGTACACGTAACAAGGATGCATATATTAGTCAGATATCGTATTTTGATTCAGGAAATGCGTTCTTCCCTGCTTATTTTTGGAGTCCATCACTCATGAACATAGCAATTCAGTATGCTACTTTACACATGCAAGACTTGAGTGGCTGCTTGTATAAGCATGTTTTTGTTCTTACTGCATTGCATGTGTAGTTTCTTAAACATTGAATTGGTGGATGAATTTGTAGTCGTCATATAGAGCAAATGAGCTTTGTTTTTATTTTTTAAGTACATTGGCATAAATTAAATGAAATGTAGCTTGTTCTTTGGAGTATTTTGGAGCCACTTATTGTTTATTTTGCGGTATTTGAACATATAAATGACGTAACTATCGAAAACCAATTTGTTGCTTTATACAGCTATAATGTAGCAAATGATACAAATCTAAATTTTTTTTAGTTAGTTCGTAACGTTTTTATGTTTTTATTTTCATCATACGAAAATCTGGAAAATCATTGTGGGTATGACACATGATGAGACAGTAAAGTGGCAATAGGTAATGAATACACAAACCTAAATTGCATTACAACCATATTCCGATCGAACATACATATTTACGTCATTCGAGGATTATAGTGCAAACATAATTCAATTAACATGTTCAACACAAAACAACTAATCAAGTAGCCTCCTTTGCTTTCCTGTTTCCTTCCGATCTTCCTTTTCCCTTACGAAAAGTAATTTTCAGGTTAATCTCTAAGTCTCGTTCGTCGGATATTCGAGCAAGCGTTTCGAACATTTTTGGCAAATCTTCGACTTTCTCATTTGCCGCAACATTGAGCGCTTCGTTAATGGTACTCGATTCTCTGCTAAACTCTCCTAGTTCGACCCATTCAAAAAATCCACATTTATTACTACATGTGTTGAATAATCGCCCATTGTTGCACGTCTGCCTTTCAACTTCGAAACATTTCTGAAATCCATGTGCACACCTTGGGCAACGACGTCTTCGCGGGCATTCATTGAAATAATGCCCATCGCTTCTACAACTGTGACAAGTTCCAGCATTCCTTCCTTTCATATCCTTAGATGGGAAACAAGCACATAAATCAATTGTACAAACCATTATATAAATAATTCATAAAATTGTGTAGCATGTGGAATAAATCAATCGCAAATGAACTTCTCCATTACTCATCTTTATCTGTCCGAAGTAGTCCCAAAATACCCAAACCAACTTATACTAATATATAACAAGTGAAATTGACATGAAAATTAGCCTCACCCATTATCATACATCAAAATACATGTGCAAACACCAATTGGGATGAATTAATCCCCGGTTACGTACAACAACAGTTGAGAATGCAATCAAAATAAGCTGGTTCAACTTTCTCTCCTTCAGCATTTGTTATTTACAAATAAGCTGGTTCAACTTTCTCTAATTCAGCATTTCATTCAAAAGGTACCCAATCGGCATACAGCTAAGATAGAACAAAATTTAATACTTAAAAAGACAACATCCATTTATAAATTTTTAAAGCCCTTCAAGAAGTCTATTTCCAACTTCACAACTGTCTAATGACTACTCACTGTTAACCTAACTATTATCCATCCTTTTCACCATAACCAGTCAACTAATTAAAATGTAGGAGATGTCTTCCTAGATTTCTTAAATTGCTTTTCCATCATAAACGAATATAGTATTTTGACTGCTTGGATTTCGATAAAAACATCATGTAAATCGATGGCGACACACAAGTTTTATCCAGACAACCGGCAACGTAGCGGTAGAAGCTTGGATTAATCAAACAAATTACATTTCCAACATGATAAAATTTATCCAGAAGCCAATAACATGAATTTTCAAATTGACATAACGACACAATTAGTCATTCTACAATTACAGACCTCTCACCTGCAGTTCACAATACTTTGAAAACGCCAAGATTGTCGCAGGCAAAAAGTACACAGTATGTTATATGCTCGGGCAGTGAACAGAATAGTTGGAAGTCGAAAAATACACACCGACCAGCAGACTAAAGCAAATCGCAGTTAAGCCAAAATCAACCCCACCAAGCTCCCATTTCTCGAGCCTTCAATCGCAATAAGTGGTGTAATGGTTTTCGGTGTTTATATTGTGACAGGAGGTACGATGCCGCTGAGGAGGATGGAGGGTAGTGGGTGTGGCGTCGGCCTCGAGAGGATAAGATCATGATTTTTTAAAATATAAGATCATCAATGTAAACAATAATGAAATTTGAAAAATGATTGAAAATATCATTCATGATTTTTTTTAAATTCAGAATGAGCATTTTTTAGACCAAATGGCATAACATTCCATTCTTGTTGTCCAAAAGGAGCATTGAAAGCAGTTTTGTATTTATCTTCTTCTTTAATTTGAATCTGCCATAAGTCTGACTTCATATCAAATTTTGAGAAGATAACAGCCTTGAATAATCAATTCAAAAGATCCTTTTTTTGAGGAAGTGGATATCTAATCCATTGAAAAGTAGTATTAAGAGGTTTATAATTGATAACAAGACACGGAGCACCTCGTTCAATTTCAGCCGAATTATTGAAATAAAAAGCTAAGCAACTCCAAGGGGATTTGCTCGAACAAATTAAACATTTTTTAAGTAAATCGTTGATTTTCCTCGTTGATTTCCTTGATACAAAAGTCTAACAATTCTTTGTTCATTTGAATAGGACGAAATTAAGTAGGAATATTTGATTCATAAAAATCAGAATTGTATAGAAGAGATACTACATGTTCTTACGATCCCAAAAAGCATTTGGAATAGTAGAACAAATCTCTTTTTCCATTTATTTTTGAAAATTTGAAATTTTTTCTTGAATTGAAAGATTTTGTAATTATTCTTCAATCCTTTGAAATTTAATTTCTTCTTTGAGAAATCTAATATGATTTTTCTTAAGATTGATTTTTAATTTTTGAAATTGATACTTGTTTTAAAGAATTAACATCTTTATAAGGAGGATTTGTAAATTTGAAACAAATTTCTTGATCAAAAATATTTGTAATTAAACCTTTTGAATTAGCTTGAAAATGATAAATTTGAACAAGATCTAAATTTTTTACAAGATAAAAAATATTCTTGAAACAAATGTTTAAATTACAAACATGAACTTTTGAAAGTTTATATTAAATATTGAGTTTCTTACCACTAGCACCATAAAAACACTCAATAGTTTTTCAAAATATTTTTTTGTAGGCATCAATCCTTCACGGATACAATTTTGATCAGCTCAATAATCAATAAGGACTCTAGATGTAAATTTGAATTCTTTGTTGACTACAATAGTCATATTGCAATATCATTTTTGAAGTTGAACACGATTAAAACATTAATCATTTCTTCTTAAAATTGAATAGTTGAAGGAATGAGAGGATTAGATTCTTCACCAGAAGAATTAGGAGTGGATAAATAAGAAGTCTTTGACTTTTGTTTCTTATTTTGAGTTTTGAGAAGAGAAACTTCCATTCTAACATCCTTCATTTGACGTTCAAGAATAAAAATTTGAAATTTCATAGAATTGACTTCTGATTTTAAATAAGAACAGGGTGATTTTGAAGTTTCAAAACAATTAAAAACATTTTGCATATTGAAAGGTTCAACTTTTGATTTTGAAGGAAGAATGGAATTAAACTTATTTTTAAGTTGTAGGTCTTCAATTTGATCAACAATCTCTTTAATAAGTTCTTTTTTTTTTAGCAAGAACATTTATAGTTTTACAATCACAAAGTTCTTTACTTTGACTTCAAGAGGATTGAGAATTTGAATTAAATTCAGCATCAGAATCTTCTTGATGTTGATAAATATGTTCTAACTCTGAGTTGGACTCATTATCAGAACTGGAATTTGAATCAGTAAGATTGAGGAGTTCAAGCTTAATATCTTCATCAATTTGAAGATTATTAATCTTACCTTTGAAAGTACCCATGTGTATATACATATATATACACACAAATGTGTGTGTGTGTGTGTACACACATATATACACACACACACACATTAAATAACCATCATTATATCATGAAGAAAAAGTTAAAAGGCAGCCATGCTTATTAAACAAAGCCTAAAAGCCAATGAAAAATGTTCAGCTTTAATACCAATTTTTCAAAGTGGAAATTATAATAAGTATTAAAAGCATAATTCAATATTAAGAAACTTTACATAAAAAGGAAGATTATAAAGTATCTAAACAAAAAATCCTCCATACAAAGTCAAGAATCTAACCCGAAAAGGGCAAGCGACAACTTTGCCAAAAAGATCGTCTTGAACATTACCGGCATCAATAGAATAAATTGCATTTTTTAGTCCATGAGAGGAAACGTATTGCTCAGCTTCTCTAGACAAACCATACCCCTTAAACACACTTACAGAAGGGTCGTTTACCTGGAGGAAAAAACATATATAACAATTGTAAACATTTTTATAATATACTCTTAAAAACTTTTGAACAGACTACACCCAAGCGCATGATTGCGCACAAAGATAATCTTATAGATAGATAGATGGACAGACAGAGACACCGAGAGAGCAAATACAACCCCAATATCCATACTTTAAGGCGTTTTGGAAATTGGAATATCACAAAACGATGAAGTCAAAGATAAAAATAGCATAGAAAAGGACCCCATTGATCTCTGTAACTTTACCCTAGAAAGGATGACTTCCTAAATTTGTATCTCTTCTATCATTTTCATAATTCTCTAGTGGTCAGAACATTTTTGAGTCTGAATCTTCAGATTAGTAAATTGAAAATGCCAGAATTTTTCTTTTCCATTTATTTTTCTTCCAAAATTTATGTATCACATGATGCATTAGAAGGCTAAAAGACAGCAGCCAAAAGGCTTCCGTATAGCTAGAATAACAAAAGAAGGATAAAATATCTATCCAAAACTAGCCATCCTTGTATTTCAATGCATTTCGATGTAATTAAAGGTTAAAAGGATTCTAAGTTGCTTCCTTTCAATTTTTTTATTAACATTGATGTTTTCTGTTGTGGATGAGTTGACTAGGAAAGACCTTAAAGGCCGTAAAATTTAGATGTTTTAAGAATTTGACAAGCAACAAATTTGTGATCCGTTCACGATTCAACCTTAATACTTTATGGCTCCCATTGAAATATTCAGTTGTCTAACAAGCATATTAAGATACAGAAATTTCAGGCAACGTGTTGTTATGAAATTCTTCTCAGACTTCTCTTGTTTATTTTCTATTGGGAAAAAAAAATGAAAGAGTCAAGATTAAGAGAACAGTAATCATGAAACATATTTACAGCATCACTTGCTAGCTGTGCAAAATTAACATTGATAAGAATTTATCATCTATTGATGGTACATTATTAGCTAACATCCTCCACAAAATTTCCATGCATTCAATGCAAGACAATGTCGTTGAATTTCTAATGAAAGAGCTCAGAAAGAAAATTAATGAAGACAAAAAAAAAATAGAGAAGCAACAATGCCCATTGAATGTTAAAATGCATGTATCATTTAAATAAATAAATAATAATTTAAAAAAAAAAAAACCCAAAAGAACAACTTCACTCTTAGCAAGAGATTTACACACACAAAATGCTGCCAGAATTTTCAGTAAAAATTGGCTAAGCAAGATAGAGGAAAATTACAGAAGATCGAAGAACTGCTTGAAGATCACTTATGCTTTTATACACCCCAACATTGTTCCCTTTCCGCACAACATAAAAAGCGTCCTTCTCATCCGCCATTTTTGGTTACTCTTCAACTTCAATCCCTGCACCAAATCAGACTAGAAATATGTAAAACTCATGACCCACCTCAGGAATACCTTGCTTACATTATTCCCATTAAATGCATTACCAAAGTGAGAAATAATCGAAAACCCTAATTATTAGCAGACAATTAAATGAGATGCAAAATCAATAATTCAATCTTTTTTTTTTTTTTATTCGAGGAAAAATACAGCTTATAATTGTAAGAAAAAAGCAAAAAGGAAAAGGAAAATACCGACCGAGCTCCGATTTCAGCGTGTTGTTGTCTCGGAGAATGTATAATTGGGCTTCTTCACGGGAATTCGAAAGAGTATCTGACCCTCGTGAGTCCACTAGCGGCAGCGATAAAGCAAAAAGATTGGGTAGGAAAAAAAAGGGTCTTGATTTTGAGATGTTTTGGAGATTTGAAATGTAGGAATTAATTGTTCCAATAGTTACTGAACTTAACTTCGTATCTTTGATTAGTAATTAAAGTTTAAAGTATTGAGATTTTATCACTGAATTTAGGTTCATATTTTCAATTGTTCATAGAAATTTAAAATATCGAGTTTTGATTACTGGATTTTGGATAATATCATACGTTACTTACTAACATAATTGTTGAATTTCGGAAAATGTCGAATTAACAATGAGTAATGTACAATATTTTTCAAAGTCAAGTGGCCAAAATTCGATATTTTAAATTTCAATGAGTAATCGAAGACATGGACTTAAGTTTAGTAATCAAAACTCGACATTTTAAACTTAAGTGACCAATCAACGACATAGACTTAAGTTCAATGACAGCTAAAACACTTAATTCAAAATGTAGGGACTGAAAATAGGAAAACAAGCCCCTTCCATGGTTTTCAATAAAAATTATTTTTTTAATAAATTTTGAAAAAAAAATTAATATAATATATAATTTAAAAATTGATAAAAGTTGTGAACCCAATAAAATTTATGATTAAAAATAAGTTTTGAGAAATAGTGATCAAAAAGAGACTAATATGAGGTCTAAATTCCATTTCAATGTGACGAATATTCGATGAGCTAATAAATCTTCATAAGTGATGTTTCAAGCAATTTTGAAAATTTTAGAAGAAGTATATAAAGGCGTCTTTTGAGAATAACAACTTAAAAAATTATAGAGTAAATGATCACTTACAAAACTACTTATGGAGATTTTGAAACTTATAATATATTAACAATCATCGACACACATCCACTAGAAATTATCGACAACCATGTCATGTCAACAACCATCATCAGCACATAAAGCACAATGGCACTTGTGAAAATTTATTATTAAAAATATTTTTACTTTTAAGAATAGAAAGTATCTTCTTCAACTACTCCACCACCTAATCATAGATTTTATTGATTAGTAATATTTATTAATTAACTTGCTTTAATTTATTTATCGACATAATTTATGTCTAAAAACTAAATTTATGAAACTGATATTTTTAATTATATCTTAAGAGAAATTTGACTCGAAGATTCTATCAATAAAATTATTTTGCCACTATTTGTCTGCCATTAAAGTAGGAAAAATGATTTTTAGAATAATGATTTTTTTTTTTTAATGTGTGATGAAATGTAAGAAATTTTTTTGATTTAAGTGTAAAATATTTTATTGTGAGAAATATGTAATTAAAAATGAGTTTGAAAAAAAAAAGTTTCAAAATAATGATAAACAAACAAAAACTTTTAAAATTTTTCGGCCATAAAATATTGATGCTTAGGTAAAGAATAAATCTATTTGTACACCAAAAATTGTACCAAATTGTTTATCTCCTCTGACACGCACGTGGGATCCGCATGAATAAAAAATCTAAAAATGTGGTCCCCATCCCCTATTGTGAGTAGTCGTTAAGTGATTAGGTTAAAAAACTCGACGCATGTAAAATGGTCCCTAGGTAAACACCTGAGTTGCTTATAGGTTGAGGAGCTAGCTCGTTTTCTAGCCACTTTTGGGGATGAGTGGATGATGGTGGTGTAGTTGAAGAAGATACTTTTTATTCTTAAAAAAAATTTAATTTCTTTCAGATTAATCCAATCTCTTTTTATATTTTTTTTTTCCTTACCCTTTTTTTTCCCTTTTTTAAATTTTTTTTTTTTTTTTTTTTTGTGTATTTAAAGTAAGTTTGTCCTAAACGAACACATTCGTCTAACCAATAATAACGCATGTGCGTGTATATGAAGGCAAGTGTAAAACACTTTAACACAATAATTTAAACCAAACTTAAAGAGAAAGGAAAATACTACTTGTACACCACTAGGTGTACTCCCGGATTTACACCCTTTCACTTGTGCGCAACCCCCCTACATGTGAAGAGGGAGTAAACTCGTGTACAACATTATGTACATGTAAGTAGTGGTAAAGAGAAAAGTGAAAAACACACTATTCACCCACCTTAACAAGTATCACTCATGTTCTCATTGAACCATATCTAGCCAATCCCGACCAGTCCTGTGATTGACGGGCCTTGAGGCGAAGTCTATAAATTAGGCCCCCAACGAAAGCAATGTAAATACAAATTTAACGGTGTATTATGCAACACATTGCTAACTTAAAAAATTAACATTAAAACAACCAAACATTTAGGAGGCATCGTGTATGAGTCTATATCTAATGTACATTGATTAACCTAAAAAATAATTACAAATAACTCAATCATCTCACAATTACCGTTATCAATATAGTTACTACGTGTTCTTGTGTAATTGTTCATCCCAAAATAAGTAATCATATAAGCCGATCAGGCCGCAATTATATAAGTCGATAAGGCTTCAAAAATTTTCAATCGCTTCAATAACAAGTTAGGGTAGGCCATTGCTTACTTGAGAAGTGGAATTTTGATAAAGATTGTGGAATTACACCCTTGAGAATGATCCCATTTTCTAAACTGGGAGTAAGCCGATCACAATTTTAAGAAATTTTTGGATTGGATCAACGATGCTCTAACATAGCAAAAGAAACATGTAAGGAAATAACAAGTATATGATGGATTAAAACGAAAGAAAGAACAAGTAGATGATGAATTATAATACTTCAGTTTAGTTAAAACATGTGATCAAGCAAAAATTCATAAAAATAATTGGCTAGAATTATCAGAAAAAGAATGTGAAGATTTAGTGTAATGTTGTATTTGTATTATGCTTATCCGAAGAAGAATGTGATCTTGCTTAGGTTTTCTGACCATCTTCAATCATGGTATATGCAACCTATGAATCAAAGGTAATTCTTATCCTTAATTTTATCAGAATTTGGAGTCGGCACGTGAATCTATTCAGGGCACTCCTAAAATTTGATGCTAGTTTTGCTACTTCACTTCATTCAACTAAACAAAACACTACATTTAGTAAATCTAGAGTAGGATATAATTCTTTTACCTCTCCATCAAATTCATACAATTGTACTTTGATGCCATTTTTGCTCTTTCAATCACTACAAACTTAAACCTACTTTCAATGAATTTGGAGCCGAGACATGAATCTTAGCACAGCAGCACTTATCCAAAACACTAAAATGAAAGTTGATCTTATTTTTTGCTCTTTCACTTCATAGAATCACAAATTAGGTGTTATTCCCAATAATTTCAGAGTCTAGACACGAATCGTCCACTTTCCACTCAAACTTTTTTTTTTCACAGATTTATAATTTTATAACAAGATTCTCTTCCTATTCAACATAGTAGCAATGGGATTGGTTAGTGGATGCACATATAACATATTCTTTATCAAAAGGGCAATAAAATTACTAAAGTTTACAAAATATTTATCGAAAATTTCAATAATTGTTTTTGTTTAATATTGCAGAGGTGAGTGATAAAGAAAACCGACAAAGAGTGTTAAATAATACATGCCATAGTTGCCACTTACGAACGAACGACTGAAGTTACTGAACGAGCAGCCGGCAGTGGAGCGGGGCACTAGGGCAGCAGGCGGCCAGGCGCTTCTGGCTTCTGCAGACTTTGAAGAATTGAAGTTCGAGTGTTCGACACTTCGACTACTTCAAGTCTTCGATGGTTCGACCGGCGTATGATAATGAAGCGCCGACGCCAAAAGGGCGGAGAACTGAGACGAGTACATACACTTAAGTCTTAGACGAGGAGAAGCCCTGATCGTATGAATCTAATTTCAGATTTTGGAATTTTGGTAATTTTGGGAAGTTTGGTAATTGGATTTGGATATATAAGTTGGGTTGGGATGGGATTTAGGGGTGTTGGATAATTAGTCTTGGGCCGCCTCACCTTGTTTTGGGCCTACTCACTTGTTTTAAAGAAAAAAGGCCAAAATTAGGCCCCTAATGGTCTTTGGCCTGAGGCAGAGGCCACCAACCCTGATCCCAACCCCCATGGAACATCCATATGCTATGTGAGAGAGGGTGTAAACCCCGTGTGTACAACGTAACGTACATATAGCATCTCCCTAAGAAAAATGTAAAGATAAAGAGAAAAAATTTAAAAACAAACCAAGCACCCGCCTTAACAAGTATCGCTAATGTTCTCATTGAACCATTTCTAGCCAATGCTGACCCCCCGTAGCACATCCATATGTTGACGTCCTGTATTCTCTCTAAATACTATTCTTGTCTAAAGTACACATTATTAAATATTATACACAAGATTATTTTTTACATACTTTGATCCAAGTGGTAAATAAAATTAATTATTGCTTTTTCTATCCAAAATGTTTACTTGGCACCAGTGCACCAAATATTTTTAAAATTTATTAGTGCATGTTTGGTTATATTATAGGCATGTTTGGGAGGGAGTAAAATATAGATTTTAAGTTAAGTTGAAGCCAATAATTAGTTTAAACCACATATTTAATGGTACTCATAATTTTTCAACCACGCTTTTAATTAACGTTTTATCAAAATCTACAAAATATCTAATTTTAATCTCCACCAACATTATAGTTTAAAGGCATAAGTTAAAATTTAATTTTAAATACACTATGGATACACAATAATTATCTCTATCTATAATTTATTTTTATTGACTTAAAATTTTAACAACTAATTTCTACAAACAAATACCTATGCACTTTGACTCAATATATGCGTTAATCGACTTTCCATTTTTATGGTCTTGTTTGGTTGATTAAAATCAGATTTTTAAACTTTGTTCGATTTTTGACTAAAAATTATATTTTTAATAAATTTTAATAAAAGTTGATAAAATGTGTAGTTCAAAATTCATAATACTTCTGTATCCCATGAAATATATGATTGAAAATAAATATGGGGAAAATGAGTTTTTTTTTTTTAAATGGGAGTTTAGTAAATTTTTATCAAAGTTGATAATTTTTTTTAGATTAAAAAATTAATAAAAAAAAGCTATGAATTTTAAAAAATACGTTATTGACAATGGGTTAAAAAAAGGAGTTTAAAAAAAATTATATATATACACAGAA